TAAAGCTTTTTTTTTTTTTTTTTATCAGAATAGAAGCATAGACTCAATGTAGAATGTGAAAGTATGTTTGTATTTCTGGGATGGTAATCTTTAGACCAAACACGGACACTGGTAGTTTAGTTAGCTTCTGAGCAGACATGTTGGAAGATACCAAGGTATTCTAAGTACAACGCTTCCATGTTAACTTTGGTCCTCTCTTGGTATGAAGATAAAAGGATTAAATCAAATGTGGTTATTACATGTGAGACTGAATGGTTACATATCTATAAGCATCAACCTTACAGCTATCTGACAATTGTGGAAATTGCACCACACTGATAATGGCTCTTGCTGAATGGTATTGAATGTATTTAATAGCTAGCCAGTGAGTTTGTAAAACAGAAGCTGACAAAAGAACTTCAACTTAATTCTCTTTAATAACTTGAACAATTTAAACACCAATGCCTCAGCTTCTGTTGTTTTACATGAACTCTGTTCTTCAGTACCAAATCCAACAACATTACTTCCTAAATTTACCTTTATGTCATTTGTCACACTGATTAGACATGGCTCACTCGATGATAACACGCATTGAGGTTGTGCAAATAACTCAGTGTGTCCGTCCTCTGGGATGTGCTGCCTATGGATCTGTTAGACTGCTGCTCACGGCCTAGTCAAGTCTGTGTGAGCGAGGAGCAACAAATCAATGGCTCAGGTCCTCTAGTCAGGGGTCAAAAAGGATAGCAGGGAGGGTCCCGGGACTATTTCTTGTCCTCATGATGGACATCTAGCCCCCCCTCCAACCACCCAGCCCCCCCAGCATTGCTCAAGGTGAGAGGCTGAGGGGAGGAGCAGTGAAAGGGGAAATGGAGGAGGATTAGGAGACCAGATGACCGCATGGATCGACTGATGAAAAACTGACGGAAGAGTACTCAGCCCCGGGATTAGGAGATGGTGACTGCACACAGCGCCCCTTTAAGGTGGCTGTCTGACTTAATTAAGGTTTACAGGTTACGCTAGGCTAGTGCTTATATTACTGTGCTCATTACAAGCCCATTAAGTGTGGGCAGAGAAAATATTGTTGTCAGAACAATGAGTGAGAGCATTTCGGAAAGTCAGTGCCAACTGCATGCTTCAGCTCATTGTCTTCATTACACCTCTTGCTCTATCTTCCAAACATCGCAGTGATCATTTGAGTGTGAACACAACATCAGAACTTTCTTCAGAGTGAAAAGGATTTGATGAGCTCAAAGTTCAAATCTGCTCAGAGACTGTAATTGCTAAAAGAACTGAATGAAGTAGGTATAGATTTTATTATTTTAAATTGATATGCTCATGTACTGAAAATTGCTATACTCACTTACATTTAGGTTTTACCTTTAGTTAAAGTTTCTGTCTTCATTTTTTATTTAACCTCTGCCTGGATAATTAAAGGCTAAATAAATAAAATTAAAAAAAAATTAGACATGATTAGTAAATAAGAAGTAAATAGCAAAAATGATCAACCATTTGTTCAAACTAAAGGTAAAGCATAGAGGATATTGCCTTCGAGTGAATGTGATTATATGAGTTAAAAGCTTCTCAGAGCCCAAACCGATTACCCCCTGCTTGTCCCAAAGTGTGGCAGCGCGCCCCTGTCTCCGAGTCTGGCACTGGTTCAGGCCATAATCACATTGTATCAGCACTGATGATGTGTGCCTCCGCTTCTGACCCCCAAAAGCCGATCAGTCCCCTCTGAGACCCACGCGGCAGTAAACGAAATAAGCAAGAATACTTTAACTCCAGTGATAGCATTTTCTACCAAGTGCAAATGATGTGAGAGCAGTGCCAGGGCCGGGTTCTGCTACCTTCACACTTTCTGGCCAAGGAAACGACACATTGAGAACCGGTTCACACTTTTTCATTGCACTGAGGGTAGTTCGACTCCCTTGGGGCACGTGGATGGAGCAAAGGCTCTGAAAGTGGCAGTAAGTATTTTGAAAAAGTAGCACAGTCTTTAGGAGTGGCTTGACTGCTTGTTTGACAGGGCAAGATTGTTTAGAAGACTATAAGCAAAAAAAAAAAAGAAGATGAATAAAGAATCATCACATGCTTGAATGTTTAAGTTTAAACGGGACATAATATGTCTACTTTACTTTTATGAGTTAATATTATAATGTTGATCCATTGTCATCTTATTCAAAATTGTCTTTTGACTGATTCATGCATGTTTGTGTAATCCTTTCTTCTTAGTTCCTATACTGGTCTTGAGTTACTATCCTACTGCTGGCCATGTTTGCCTGATTTGTCCAAACTAACTAGCAACCATAGAAGGTATAGAATTGAATTGGGCAGAAATACGGCATACTGTATTTCCTGTATCCTCCTGTCTTAACCAGGCTCTTTTCTCTTTACTGTGGTGTTTAATTACAAGTGAATTCACAATGGTGACTGAGGGTAATTGGTCCACTTCCCTGCACGCAAGTGCTTACAGAGTGCATAAATCCACTACAGTAAAGAGAGGCAGGCGCAGAGCGGGCACATATGGGACAGTTTGTGACTTTAGCCCTGGAGCTGAAATCATTGTTTGAGAGATACCTTTAAAGTTGCTCTCATATGGTGCTGAAGATCATCTCCTGCAATGGGAAGGCTTCCCCAGTGCTGTGTCAGCACACTCCGATTACAGTGGCTTTTTGTTGTGTTTCAGACAATTTCATCATGCCCCCAACCCCCAGCTCCCACTTCTGCACTTGGTATGCATCGCAACACTGGCAATTTGTACGTGTTTGGATTCCAATTATAGGGTTGTTAAATCTTTTTGCCCATGGCCTGCAAATTCTTATTAAGCCATACATTAAAAAGCAGAATCACATTTAAATGTAGTCCATGTTTCTCTCTTGTTTGCCTGAGTTGTGTGTTTATTATTAATTTATTTAGCCACAATGCCTTATGCATTACATATTAAAAAATAAATCATGTTTGTGATTGTAATACAAAAACATGTTTCTTATTTAGAGATGAAGCAAGGATTTCAAGTAAACAAACAACTATGCCTTAAGAAAAAAAAAAAAGATCCCATGTATTACCCGGTGTCATTTGAGAAACAAGCAACCCATGCACATGAAAACAAGAAAACAACAGTAATATTTTTACCACCTATGCATTTTTTTATGAGCTGACACTGAGCAAAGAAAGAGAATTAGACAGAGGCTTGAGTGATTGAGTGATTTTGTGGGTGTTCATTGGAAATCATTAGGTTAAGGGTGCTGGGACAAGGGAGAGGAGGGACCACTCTGACACCATTGCTACAGTCAGCCATCTTTAAGGTCATGACACTAGACGCTGTGGGACCATTTTTCATCTGCTCAAAAGGAGGGTGACTCGTGACTAAACAGTGGTGAGCAGTGCCAGAAGGAAGCAATGAGTAATATTTTTATTGTTGTTAAATTCTTTTCAATATTATATATATTTTTTTACTTTTTGAAAAGACTTCAAATCATTCTACAAAAAGGTAAAAAGATATCCATGCTTCCATCCTGAATAAAAACACTGAAAATGCAGATTGCTCAAAATACTGAAAAGTATGCTATACCTATAAGATTAAAGGGCCAATATTATGCTATTTTCTGATATATGCTGTGTTTGTTAGCCTGATTCATCAACCGGTTTCACTTCATGGAAACCGTCTGACCTCGCAGCATTAGGATTTATTCACTCTATGGTAGGCGGGTACTTTTTTTATTTTACCAATCGCTGCTGTTTGGTCATGACATATGTAATTTGCCAAATCCCATAGGAAGAAGGGCAATAACGTCTTTCCCCTTGATAAAATTCACCAAACATTCTCTTTGTTCCGGCTTTAAATCCTCGATCTCAGGAATCATTGCCAACACAGAATGTATGGCTTCGTCTACATCCATCTCGACCGCTTTGTTTACTGTTGTGCTGTGCCAAAAAAAGGGACCCAGACAGGTGCTTGAGTTTGATGTCATGGCTTCACAGCTCTTTGCTGATTGGCCGGTGCGCGGTCTACAACTTCCGGGGTTCTTGAAAACTGTCTAGTGTATTCCGATTCCTGACCTATAGTCGCTGAAGAGAAATGAAATTGAGCTGCGGCATTAGGTGGCGCCAGCCTGGCTAATTGTTTATTGTTTCCTCATCACAACATGGATTTGTGTTTTGTTTCACTCACACATGTTTAATACATAAATCCTGCATTTAGGCTGAGTTCTTCTCTCAAACAGAAAACACGGTTCCACCTTGGGATGTCATGTTGTAATAAAGGAAGTGATCCACTGTGTTTTTAAACTCCATACACACAAGAATCATTTGGATAATTTTCAGCCATAGAATTCCCAAGGACACTACATTGTAACATGGCTTAAAGCTCACAAGAATCCATTTTGTGTAACATAGGACCTTTAATGCAGATGGTCATGTTTGGAGTGGTATCTGATATCAAATAATTTCCAAATCAATATACAGTGCACCCACAGTACACATTTGACATCAGAATGAAATACCACAATTTGAATGTTAAAGAAAGGACACTTCCATATGCTGAAATAAAACAGCACACTGAAGAATATGTAATATATGAGGAACCACAAAAAAAAAAAAAAAAAATACTGGGATATGGTTATGCAAAGACATTATAATACATCACCACCCACTGAATATATTTTGCTGTTGAAATGAGATCCCAAATGCGCTGGCTGCTAATAAACCATCTTCAAAGTGGCAGAAATATGATGCATGGTAACCCCTATGAACCTCATTAATAGAACACAAGCAAATCTATTTATTCAGACAGTCGAGGGAAAAATGATTGCTTCACTTCTCACTCCCATTCCCTCTGTCCTATGGAATTTTAATACTGGAGTCCCATTTTCTGATCAAGTCTTTTATTCCATACTGTCAGTTTTGTTATTGCTTGCTTCGGGACATGGTCTAAAGCCGTACTTTTATTACATGCTATTATTTTGCTGTTTGGTAGCAACAATTGTGCATGTGTTAAAGTAATATGTTTGGATCTGTTGCAGGTTGTGCATTTCTCACTTACTGCGCTCGGGAGTCGGCCATCAAAGCCCAGAATGCTCTCCATGAACAGAAGACACTGCCAGGGGTAAGTGCTGTCTGTCTGTCTGTCCACACTCTCTCTTCTGTCCTACGTTTGACTTCCTCTATGGAGGTCTGCTATGCCATCTGCACACAACAACACACCAGCCAGCAGCGGTCTACTTTGGGAAGCATTTCAGTCAGTCCCCCTGCTGTTTGAAAGCCCAATTTGAACTTTTCTATGTGTCTGTTGTGCACTGTATCATACAATGAACACAAATGAATGCCAGTTTGAACCAGTACACAGGCAATCAAGTAAGTTTAGCATCACTTTTGCTTTTGTGTAACTTCTGTGCTACATTTTCAAAAATGTTAATTTTGTCTTCTGTTGTACATTAACTTCTTGGGCTCTTTTTTAAAGACAATACAGTAGGAGATGTATTTACCTTGTAGACATTAACTTCTTAGGTTCTTTTTAAAGACAATGCAGTAAAGTGTATTTACCTTGTTGACATGTTTTGGCTGCTAGCTGCAAGCCATCTCAGACCACTGTAAAAGGAACAACCACATTATGGATTGGGACGGGGCTTGGGTCATCGGATCGGAAAACAACAAGTTCAAACGCTGGATCAAGGAGGCCATTGAAATCAGGAAACGAGGCACGGACAGCATTAACCGTGATGACGGCGCGTTCCTCCTGTCACACACCTGGGACACCCTCCTCCAGAGAACACCGGGTGACGGGAGGCGTGGTCAGTCTGAGCGACCTGCCAGGTCCATCAGGCTGACCACGCCTACAGGAAGTAACAACAGCTGATATACGACACGTCACCACCAACACCGGTGACAGTTCTGAAGATGGCTTGCAGCTAGCAGCCGAAACATGTCAACAAGGTAAACACACTTTACTGCATTGTCTTTAAAAAGAACCTAAGAAGTTAAAGTATATAAGAAGACAAAATGAACATCATTACTGGGAAGGGCAGTATGATCAAATAAATCATACTATATGTAAGGCACTATTTGCCATGGTGTATTTAGAATATACATTTTTAATGTTGCGTTCACATGGTCCTTGGAAATTCTGTAAAATATTTTTTTAGGTTAAAAAATGTAATTCCACATTTGAAATGTTTATTTATTTCTTTGAATGGATAGTGATCTCTTTGACTAAATGATACAACATTTAGAGGTTTACTGTCAGTTGACCATATCATAAGAGCAACAGAAAAGCTTAAAACTATTGTTAACATAAAAAAGTAGGATGTTATCCTAAACAAATGAGGTTTGATGAACATGAGACAATAAATCTTACTGGTTAATGCTCTTAAAGAGCAGACACAGTCTCAATCCTGAGATTCCATCTCAGAAAACAATTTGAACCAAAATGTTGTTTAAATCAAATTATCAAAATGTTTCCTATAAGCAAGAACTTGAAACCCATTGATATGCCTAGATACAAAAAAGAAGATTCATGTACTAAATGTAAACACAATGCATGATTTTTTACCTTATGCTGTAAGGCAGAGATTGAAATAAATCATATTTTCAGTCAGTAGTGCCCTAGTATCGGTGCATATTGGGTATCGACAGATACTCAAATCCAAAGTACTGACATTGGTATCAGAACAGAAAAAGCTGGATCTGTGCAGCCCTACTTAGATCCATCATGCCACACAAAAAACAGTTGAGCTTCAAATAAATATTAATACAATGAAAACAAACTACAACACTTTTTCATTCGCTGTGAAAAAAGGAAGTTTTGTTTATCCTGCAAATTAACCAAACTCGGAGCCGCAGGGCTTATTCCTCTATTTTCCTTGGCATTTGAATAATAGAAGACGGTGAGATTAAAAGTCCCTATGTAGAATGCCAGAGGATGTGTTCATGAGTGTTCACTAAAACAGAGTATGTTAGAGTATTTTGTTGTCACAGTCTCTCAGATCTCACATTCATTAAAAATATCCTCTTCTTTCACTCACCAGGCGGTCGGGGACTTTAACCTTCCCTGGAGACTAGACTTCATGTTTAAATTAGGGCCAAGAGGGGACAGGCATAGATGCTAACAAGTATAGTGCTGTATGGTCAAACTGTCAAACCATCTGGTGCCTATACTTATCCACATGAACAAGCATTAAACACTATAAGTAGCATGAAATGTAGCCATTCGCTTTTATTGGCTACTTAATTATAGAAGTTATAAACCTTTGTCAATCAATCATTTCCAACTGTGAGTGATTTTAAGACTTGTCATGAACCACCGGTGAGTATTTCAGTACCTTTGTCTATTGTGGCTACCCCATGCTGACTTCCCTCTCCCCAGCCACCTCACACCCTTCTGTGCTGTGTCCGTCCACAGCTTTCCGGAGACAGAGCATGTCATAAAGATGTAACAGGTCGACAGTGATGGGTGTCAGGCTTCACAGATGGGACTGTGCTATTGTTCTTCACATTACGATTTGAAGAGAAAATGCAATCAAATGATAGAATTTTAAATCATTCATAAAAACATAATGGTTTTGGTTCATATATTGTAGCTGTTGTCTCTTCTTTGTCTAGTTTAGTTGTTTTTGTGATGTGAGCTCTTTCCCCTCTGCTTGATGGTAAGTAAATCTGCCAGTTGTTTGTTTGCTCTATTCTACTTGATATTCCGTTTGCCGGCGGCTCTGGCCCTATTACTGTAGATTTCAAATATTTTTATCGATACCTTATGAAACATTAACTCCAAACTTATTGATGTGTTGAATAATTCACACCTGCATCGATCACTTGCAAGGGCCTTTGACCAGTTAGACCACATTTAAAGCTCCATATTATGTATACAAGTCCAGGAGTGTCCAGTCATGCATTTATTGTAGTAAGAGGGAGTATTTTTTCTATGTTCTTTGAGTGGGGTCTAACTCTTTAACAAATGTACTTGTCACTAGACATATTATTTTGTTAATATTGATTTAAAAGTGATATATTTAATTAAAATGACCATCCTAACCCTGTTATATCCTTGCATTACATAGCTAAATGTACTGTGCTACACTTTGTGAGGGGCTGAGTTTTCAAAAAGAAAAATCTAATAAACTTACAAAACGTTGCCATCCATGGGTTTGGAGTGCTGAAAAATGTGCACTGTTGTCATGGCAATGAACATTTAGTAAAGAAAATGGTATATGTTTTGAATGGTGAAAAAAGCTTAGGGAGGCGCCTATAAACTTGAAACTTTTGAATACTATTCAAATTTACCAATGCTTTACTACTGTCCATCCATTGTCCAGAAAGTATTGTGCTTCTGGCCCACAGTTGCTGCACTCATAACTGTGAGATGGCAGTAGGCCTACATGCTGTTATTTATTATGTTTTTCGTTCTCCAATCACCATATTGTATGCGTAAACATTATCATTACTGTAGGTTTCACATACAGTAGGCCTGTGTCATGGCTGAGAGGATAAGCCAGTGTTCTTGGTTATTATCCGTGTCCCCCGTTAGTTACTAAGAGGAACACTACGACCTAATGGAAGTGTACTGGACTGGAATATACAGTGTGATTCCTGCTGTGAAGTCTGATGGGAACCTCAGGGACACAAATGGCTGACATGGGTTTGGCAGAAAAAAAACACATGCGCTCTGACAGTTTACTAGAGGTGTGTGTTACCTGGCTTTGTAACCGTGTGCATTTGTGTGTGTGACTACACTCTGTTATTCACTGCAATGGATGGAAAGTTGAGTTTGAAAATGTAAAGCAGAATGTGACAGATCTAATATATGTCCTGGCCATGCTGTATGTTTAACAATATAGTAAATGTGTAGAACAAATACAAAGGTCACTGTTTTGATTCAGGGGTTTTAGAATATTCATGCTTTGCAGTGACATCCTGCTGGGGGTGTTGTAAATATTCTACCATTAGACATACATGTAGGAGTTACCATGGTAACACAATGCACACATTAGCAAACACTCTCACAAAGATTGAAACTCAAGGGAAAAAAAAAAGGATTTAAACAACACATTTTCAAGAGCCTGTAATCAATAGTTCATGGTCCTGTTAAGGTGTTTGATTTTCAACAAAAATGGTGAAAGTGACCACCTGAAAAAAACAAAAAAACAAACAAACAAACAAAAAAAACTATTTGCAAATGCCAACTACAGTCCCTGACAAAAGTCTTGTCGCTTATCCATTTTGTAGAAACAAAAGCTTATAACTTGACTTTAAATTAATCGAATGGTTTTAGAAATGTCTCATATGAAAGCTAAAACCCTCTCAAATTATGCTCAATATACTAAAATAAATTTGCTTCACTGAAAAAAGATTGATCATTTAATGAACACAGAAAGGTCAGATTTTGGCAAGACAAAAGTTTTGTCGCCTACAGAAAATTGAACAAATAATTTACTTCAAATACAAAAATATGTTGCATAACGTCAGTGAATTAAGTAGTGGTGCTGTGAGATCCATATTTAATATCTTGTATGACTTCCATGAGCTTGAAGGACTGCATCCATGCGGTTCGACAATGATTCATACAATTTGTTGATGAAGTCATCAGGAATAGCAGAGAAAGCGTCTTACATGCCTCCCAGAGTTCATCAAGATTCTTTGGTTTTGCCTTCCATCCTTCCTCTTTCATTCTACCCCAGACATGCTCAATGATGTTCATGTCTGGTGACTGGGCTGGCCAGTCCTGGAGCACCTTGATCTTCTTCACCTTGACAAACTTTGATGTAGAGATAGAAGTATGTGATGGAGCACCATCTTGCTGCAAAATTTGACCCCTTTTATTTTTGGGAATGTAAGAGGTAGCTAGTACTTCTTGATATTTTATTTAGGCTATTGCCTTCCACCCTGCAAATGTCTCGCACACTCCCATACTGGATGTAACCCCAGACCATGATTTTTCCGCCACCAATCTTAACTGTTTTCTGGGTGAATCTTGGATCCATGCGGGCTCCAGTAGGTCTCCTGCAATATTTGTGGCAGCTGTAATTCAACTGAGGATTCATCTGAGAAATCCACCTTCTGCCACTTTTCCAGTGTCCATCCTTTTAGCAGGCTGTGGGCCTTGGCAAATGCCAT